CTATTTTATGATAAATAAATCATGCATGGTATTTGAAATGACACTTTTAAATTATCTGGTTGTTTTGTATCTTATGAGACCTATTCTATTTTTTTTTATCTTATTTATTATAAACAGTTTTTCCCAGAATCACGTGACTACACGTTGTATGTTAGTGTTATAAAATCTATTAATAGTAACAAATGGCTGATAAGACAGACATACAGGTAACTTGTGAATGGTTGGCAGCTGATAAAGTGCAAATCAAAGTAATTTTGTATGAAAAATCTCGGTATGACAGTAGGGGCCGGAATCGTATTGGATACAAAGAGAAAACTAATAAACCATCTTTGTGTTGATAGTTTATCGCACTGAAAGGCAATTAAACGTTAACTTTATCGTATGTAACGACAGGAATATTGATTTCAGCCAAATAATATATTTTTTCGATAGTGCATAAGAATATTTTTTTTTATGCAGACACCACTTTTACAGTAGAATTGCATTGTTTTATACAATAATTAAGCATATATATTTTCATTGTCACTTTGCAAATATTCGATGATCGGTAATAATTTGTCGGTAATTATCGGATGCTGAAGAAAACCATGCGGAGTTCAAATGTATGGTACAACGGTATATGTATAAAGTAGAATTACAAGTAGAATTATAATCATATCATTTGCTTTACAAGCCTCGATGACAAGGTCTTAGATTTTAAGTTAGTTTCAAATTGAAGACTGTATAGGTTCGATAAAGTGATTTTTTATGTTTTCTTTTATAATACTTTTTGTATTTTGCAAAACTTGACCGTTTATCAAAATTATGAAATAAAAAAAGTGCTAGAAATGAAACACACGATTTATCAACTTATGTTTCACAAAGTTAAAAGATATTATAAAAATCAATTTATGAAAACTACACACAGGATTTGTCCGAGATTCGAACTTGCGCCTACTACATGTAGGTTACAACTTCGTCATACTTACCACTAGGCAATCGAGCAGTATTAATTGATATAATTATACATGTAATTATACTTACAATAAAATCGTTAACATTAATCATAATAAGTTATGTAAGCAAACGAAACAGCTCCCGAAAATTATTGAGACTCGGGTAAATATTGCCAAACAATACTTGTTTATTTAATAATGATAACAGTTTCTTGAAAAAATTGCTAAGCAAGTTTGCTTCAAATGTGATGTTCTATTATAACACAACATAAATTTATTGTATAAAACTCTAAGCAAGAAAGATATTATTGTGGCAAGTATATGAAAACGTGTTTATGAATAAACATTACTCAACTTATTGTTCCTCTTTTCTTTATACTCGAACCATTAAACTGATATTTTCTTTTATTTATGATAATACAATCATATTTCTATCCGGCGACTTGATGCTTTAGCATCAAAATCTCTACTTGTTATATAGTTACAACGATACAACAGCATCAAAATCTCTACTTGTTATATAGTTACAACGATACAATAGCATCAAAATCTCTACTTGTTATATAGTTACAACGATACAATAGCATCAAAATCTCTACTTGTTATATAGTTACAACGATACAATAGCATCAAAATCTCTACTTGTTATATAGTTACAACGATACAATAGCATCAAAATCTCTACTTGTTATATAGTTACAACGATACAATAGCATCAAAATCTCTACTTGTTATATAGTTACAACGATACAACAGTGATCATGCATCACATAATGCAGTAGAAGAAAATGTCTAAAGGTTTTTTTTCTATATTTAGCTTTAGAGGCCCCTAAAAAGGGTTAATCAAATTAATTTGAATAAATTTGATAACAAACCATCGAAGAGAATGCTACAGACAAAGTTTGGTGATCATCCATCAGTTAGTTCAGTAGAAAAAGATGTTTGATAGTGTTTTATTTTCTACTTTTAGCTCTGTTAACCCATTAAGGGGCCATTTGAAATGATATGAGCAAATTAAAGTGTGACTGTCACAAGAATGCTACAGAACAAATTTGAAGTAAATTTACCCAGCAGTTTCAGAGAAGAAGATGAATGTTGACGCAGGAGCCTCCACCTTTGATACTAATAGCGCATCCTGAACTGGTTCTGATGAGCTTAAATTTTGCTTTTTTATTATTCACTTTTTTGCTGTGATTTGAGAGAAAGACACACAGAAAGATAGAACCACACACAGAGATTAATTAAATTAACAATATATCAAAATATATCAGCATGCGTGGTGTAAAATTATTATGTTCATCACGGGGGAGGAAGTGTTACACGAAGGATGGAGTTCTTATGATAACTTGTTTGGAGTTCTTATGATAACTGTCACGGAGTTCCAGGAAAACGTTACGGATTTCTGTGGAAAACTTTTCTATATACTTGGAGAACTCGCGTAAATAATGGTTATTTTTAACTTAAAATGGGGAGTTTGAGGTGCTAAATTTAACTTTGATAATTAAGCTTGCCCTACATATTGTATTTTGTTTCAGAAAAAATATTTTAGTCCATATTTCGTCGCCTTTTTAAAAAAAAATCTGGTAGTTTTGAAAAAAATTACCAAATTACTTGCTAATTCGTACATATTGACCTTTTCATTTGTGATCTTCACCGTTGCTATACATAATCACCTAATTATTATGGAGAGTTGCAAACAAAAAGCCAAGGCTAATAAATTTATACCCGATTTTTCAAATGTTACAGAGTTCTTGCGATAACTCAAAATATGTCCTGGAGTTCTTATGATAACTTTTGTTACTGCCAGTATGTTTTTGTGCTTAATCACGGCACGTTTAAGCGTATTTTATTAGTCAATAAGTGTGTAAATCATTATGAAGCATAGTACGCTTATCATTTGCACAAAAATTTGGTTATATAACGTTGGTTTTGATCGTGTTTTTCAGTTCAATAGATATTTTTCTTACCTCCGTTTCTTGTGTTTTTTGTGTTTGTTTTGGTCTCTTTGTGTGTGTGTGTGTGTGTGTGTGTGTGTGTGTGTGTGTGTGTGTGTGTGTGTGTGTGTGTGTGTGTGTGTGTTTTATTTTATTGGAATGACTGTAAACATACTTGATGTAGAGCATTTACTTACAGGATAAAAAGACGCTTTGAATTTAATACTCAAGCATGATTTCGTCATATACTAGTATACATTATTCCTGGCAGTTTTAGAGAACATTTAGAACAATTTCTAAAAGGTATCAGTTTTTTGTCATAGAAACGTATAAAGTTCTATGACAATGATATGACGATAGAAAGTAAGTCTTCAATAAGATATGTGAGTCACCGTAAGGTTCATGCCGTTTATCGACCTTGTTCCTTTCTCTATTAAATCCAATGTAGCATCACGTGACGTACAGCAATCTCCATATTTCGGAAAATTACTGCATACATTTTTCTTATCAAAGTTGATGTCCTAGTTGTGGAAATTTTGCAACAACTTTTGCTGTAACTGATTTACAAAAATACATTGTCGAACTTCTTTCGCTCGAACCCGTAGGGCACGTGCAAATCTGTCGAAGAGATCGGTAGTAATCGGTTGATTTTTTATGCATAAAAAGATCATACATTTCGGGTGCATGGGTGTGAAGGGTATCCCGGTTACATACGATACATGGTATATTATGATACTTACTTACTTACTTACTTAGCCGCTTTTGAGCCCAACTACTTATTGTCTGCTTTAGAAAGGCGGTTGCTTAAAACATGTAACTGAGAAAAAAAGGTAAGTTTTAAACAATTTTTCCTTGGCGGTTTAAGCCATGTTACTGCTGAATACAGGTGACCGCTGATTCAGGTTTTCCTGAAGATTTTTGTTTGTTTGTTTCATTTTACGCCTTTTCCCAACAGTATTTCAGTCATATAGGCGGATAGTTTCCTAACCATCGTTCCTGGAGAGTTACACCAGTACTAGACTACCTTCCCCCGTGCTAAACTACCAAAGCATCTCCCGGGGATTGAACCCACGCCAGAGAGTAACTGGATTAGAAGTCATCAACTCTAACCCCTCGACCACGGAGGCGGTCGTTCCTGAAGATAGCTTAGTACCTGTTTATCCATGTAGACTGTACACCAAAGCAGTTTCATGTCTTCTCCAGATATATTGAATGATCGTGTTTTAATTTTGCCACATGGCCTCAATGTTGCATTTGCGGAAACTTATGACATAAAACTTTTGTTGACGAACAGTATACACAGAAACATTTAGTGCATTCGTTGGGTTTTATAATGTCAATATGATTTCGCACAAATTTAATTAGGAACTAAAACACGATCAAAACCAACGTTATATAACCAAATTTTTGTGCAAATGATAAGCGTACTATGCTTCATAATGATTTATACACTTATTGACTAATAAAATACGCTTAAATGTGCCGTAATTAAGCACAAGAAACACACTGGCAGTAACAAAAGTTATCATAAGAACTCCAGGACATATTTTGAGTTATCACAAGAACGTTAACTCCGTAACATTAGAAAAATCGGGTATACATTTATTAGCCCGGGCTTTATGTTTGCAACTCTCCACTATAATTAGGTGATTTTGTATAGCAACGAAGAAGATCACAAATGAAAAGGTCAATATGTACGAATTAGCAAATAATTTGGAAATTTTTCTCAAAACTTCCAGATTTTTTTTTAAACGGCGACGAAATATGGACTAAAAGATTTTTTCTGAAACATAATTCAATATGTAGGGCAAGCTTAATTATCAAAGTTTAATTTAGCACCTCAAACTCCCCATTTAAAGTTAAAAATAACCATTATTTACGCGAGTTCTCCAAGTATATAGAAAAGTTTTCCACAGAAATCCGTAACGTTTTCCAGGAACTCCGTGACAGTTATCATAAGAACTCCAAACAAGTTATCATGAGAACTCCATCCTTCGTGTAACACTTCCTCCCCCGTGTTCATGGATGTGGTAAAAATAGTAGATCATGTGTTCGGGCAAGCGTAAAATAGTGACGTAAAATAGTGTCAGTAAATACATGTATAGAGCTGTCACTGCTGATTTCTTAAGCAACACGATATATCCGGAGGGAAAACGTAAACTTGTAATGGATGGTTAAACATACATTAAATACGAAGACAAATTCAGTTTAAAAAGATTGAATGCAATAAATGTTTACAGTTTAAAGCTCCGGTGCATTTCGACAGTGTTCTCATTTTACAAGTTTTTCGCCAGTCTTATTTCAGCTTAGGTGAAAGGACTTAAATAAGATTTATACAAGCTATAAATGCTTAAGTTAAAAGGGACGTAAGAAAATGACAGGTAAAATACGCTTCCCATTTAATAATCTTAATAGAAATATGCATCTTTATCTAATAAATATCAAATTTCTTTAAAGTTTTGACATGCTTTTTACATGTAAAATGTGTGTATTGAAAAATAATATAAAACAAATACATGTATGTTTAAAACGTAGCTTCTAAATGTAGCTTTAACTCTTAACATGTTTTTGAATACACTTTAGTAGTATTTGTAAAAAAAACTTCGGACAATATTCTTTTCATTTCTTTTTTTTTTCAAATATGCAAATTTGAAGAGGGGTTTTGGTAAAAGTCCTTTTAAACAATATAGCTACCAACATTAAGTATTTTACAAATAACTATTTTTGTATAATTTTACAAAAAAGAAAAGGGGGTTCTGAAAGACACAGTTACTGCGTAAATATATAGGTTATGTTATAAGTAACCCGTCACGCCGACACTTTTCTTTTTTTTAAAGTATAGCAACATGCTTCGCCATAATGATGAAAAACCACTAAGTAAAAAAAAACCAACCAGATGAATTTATTTAAAACTATTAAAGTAATAATATCAAAGGGAAAACACCATGAATTTAATTAGATGCATGTTGAAATGTTCAATTAAAGATTAATATACATGTATTAAACTGCACGGAACATTGCAATGTTTAAGGAATTCATATACAACTTTATAAGGTTTGTTAACGGTCTTTTATCAGTTGGAATCGAAAAACAAATTTCACATGTCAGTAAATTAGTAGCAAACACTCGCAGAAAATTGCCAAAAAGTCATTATTGTTTTTCAGGTATTTCATGATCATTTTATAGAAAAAATTCATTCCGCGATAATTTAAAGGTTTTAGTAAGATGTTTTATCCAGTAATGAATTTGTAGTACTTATTTTTATTAGAACCTTATAAATTTTTTAATATTAAGGGAAAACAAAGCAACGGGCTGATTTTAGGCTTGGAGCTCACTGCAACTCTCAATCAATCTCCGAATTCTTATGTTTAACAAGGACATTTCACTAAAATCTATCAATATGTATACATGTAACTATATTATAGCGATAGTATAAGGATCTACCTAGCTTATTATTTCCTTTCAATCGGGAAAAATGAAATACAACTTGTTGACAGGTTATATGGCCCTTTATAAACGGCTGTTTGTAAATATGAGTATCTTACATGATTGGCACAAGTCCCATAACTCTGGTTTGCTTTTTTGCATAATTATGCCCCTTTTTCGACTAAGAAATTCTTGGTTAGGTTTTTGCGTGAAAGCTGGTATCTCTATAACTACTGAAGGAAATGGATTGAAACTTCACACACTTGTTCTCTGTGATTATCTTACATGATTGGCACAAGTCCCATAACTCTGATTTGCTTTATTGTATAATTATGCCCCTTTTTGACTTAGAAATTCTTAGTTAAGTTTTTGCGTGTAATCTGGTATCTCCATCAATACTGAAGGGTTTGTGCCTTTTTTGAAACAATTTTATGCAGTCATAATAATAAAGCTGTGTTTAACTCGATAACAAGCATTTGTACCTTTTCGGACAATTTTATGTCTTAATATAGGTTAGCATTATTATACTCAATGAAACACCCTTGTGATAACTTTTTCAAATAGTCAAACTTTACTGTCCTCCGACAGTTCTTGTTAGCGAAAAAAGTAAGATTTCTTCATGATTTGACAACAGCCATGTATATAAAACTATATAAACGTCACGATTATCCAATGAAAAGCGACGTGACAAACGTGCAGTATTATAAAGATTTACATACACTACTGCTGTCAATTTATGAAGAAATATCTTCTTTCTCTAAAAAGATGTTTGCTGTACTAAGGATTTGTTATAAAGTTTTTGAAGGGTTATATGGCCGTATCTAAACGGCAGTTTGCAATATAACCCTAGCCTAGGGGCTCTGCAACAATCGGCCATATAACCTGTCAAAAATCTTTATAACTCATATTATAACACTGCACGATTACCCAATGAAAATCAAGGTTACAAATGTGCAGTATTAAACACATATAGGCAGAATTTGAGATTTCCAACATATATTCTTTAATATTGAAATAACGTTAGAATTTGAAAAGAAACACATTTCAAGTGAAAAAACTGAGGGGTCACCGATGTAGGAGCACATTTGTCTTGGAGCACAATTGTCTTATGTAAGACCGATGCGGTCGCATTTGTCCTACATAAGACAAATGGAACCGCAAATGTCTTCGCCCCCAAAAACTCATTTGTGTGACAAATGTGCTCCGATCAAGTTTTTTAAGGGACAAGAAAGCACGTTTGTCTCATTTATTTTAAGGGACAAGAAAGCACATTTGTCTACGGAATTCCATAAACTACAGCCTACTGTTTACTGTCAACTGCCTACTGTCAACTGCTTACTTCAACTGCCTACAGTACTGTCAACTGCTTACTTTCAACTGCTTAATGCTTACAGCGACTGTTTAATGCTTACTGTTAATTGATAAATGCCAACTGTTACACCTGTCTAATACCCGATTAATTGCCTGAAAGTAAATGTTGGCTTTTTATGACTTTCTTCCAATGTGTTTATATGTTACAATGAGGCCGTTTGAAACAGTATTGGTCAAGCAATTACTCTGTATCATTTATGAAGACTTTGACTGAAACCTTGGAACTTGTTACATTTATACATGTACATGTATAATTCTCGTTTTACTAAGCAGAAAAATAAGTATATATATATCTTTGCAGGCATCTGCTACTTTTCCAAATCATAGATCTGTTAACTTTATAAAAATGTTATCAATCCAAATATTACAAGTTTTTTCTGTCTCGGTAATTTTGGGGTACCAAATATAACTGCTTGCTTAATTATTTATACATGTATATTCCTGTTCAAGTACCATATAACATGTATATTATAATATTTGTTTATTAAATGATATTGACCCTACCCTATAACTATAGAGCTTAATGATATTTTTTAACGGAGGCCTTGTAATGTCATGAACGTCTTTGTTTTTACATTTAAATCACAACAATGTTCGCATTTTGAAAATAATGCTATATAATGTTTTGTTCGCATTTTGAAAATAATGCTATATAATGTTTTGTTAAAAATAATCTAGATAATGCTGCTCAAAACATAGATACATGTATATAGATTTTCAGACAAAATTATATATACCAGTCGCGTCTCGGATTACCAGTAGTTTATTCTGATAAACGTTAAACGTACTTTGAGAATATACACACTTCATGATTCAAATCATACATGGCACCGTTTAGTTCTATCTAAAAAAGTTAATACTTGTTCTGGTGATTGTAGACCGTACATTTATACCTTAAGTTAATTCTACAAAGCCTTAGATTTGACTCAGGAAAATGTTACTTGAGTTGATGTTAAAAAATTAGTCGACAGAAGCATGATGACTAACATGTCAATTATTGTGTTATAATTGGAAATTCGATGCATATATAATAACATCATTGAAAGATCTTTGAGTTACTTGGGCATTATTAATACAAAGTATTGTTAGTATTTGTTTAACGATATGATGAACTGCGGTATCCTAAATTTGAGTCACTGTAATGCCTTCCGCATGTAATTTCTTAGTTGTTGCAGTATTACCTGTGTTACATTCTGATTTTTTATAACTTATGATAAGGCATTAATACCACAGGATAGAAAACAGATTAATCAATATATTGCTAGACGGTCGTCTTTTTATTTCATTGTCTTAAGAAAAGAGTGTTTACTCTACCGATACGCCAAATACGCACGGGCGTATGAAAAGAAAAAAAGAAAATTTCAAATCGGGCATAGATCGATCAACATATTCGTAGCTGCTAATTGATTTTTTAGGTATGCTGAGGATGTTTCCTTATTCGAATGTGTGTTACCTATTTTGATAATGTGTATAAACAATTTTAGTGAGAATTGATCTATCGTTGTTTCAGTCTATCAAAGTTTTTATGGAGGTATCGTTTAAATTATCTTAAGATTTTAATTTATAACATCCTACTGTATGCGGATTCCATTAAGGACAAAAATGTTCGGCCTTTCTACAGAGCCACGGAATGACGTACACAATGTAAAAAATATGATATGAATAATTTCTTTGGAAATTTCTCTTTTTGCAGATTGAGTTATTAAAATAATCAATGTTATAATGCAAATTAAACTCCTCAAAACCCAAATAATGATAATAAAAAGTCAAATTTATCACAATCATCTTTCCTGCAGAATCAAAATCAATGAAAACTGAACATTTATTTTATATGCAAAATTAAGTCTTGTCTGCAACTTGACATTTGTAGCACAATGGTAGGAAGTTGACCATATGTAATTCCTTTTTATATTTTACCTTGTAGTTAGAAGTCAGTATATTATTTCTAAGTTAGTAACATTCTTTCATCTTATAATCGTTCAAAACCATTGCCCACATCTATCGTCCCAAACCATAGTCAACTTATGTTTATTTGACCTAAAATATATCAATATATAAAGTTATTTCTACTGTCTTATTTTATTGACTATAGAAATGAATTGCAACCTACTGCAAACAATGACATATATTCTTCATTATACGTAGTCTCATCCATACATATAAAACATACAATGAAAACAATGTATATCTATATAAGAGATAATAAGACACGTCATGTCCAGATTCTTTTATTTTCACCGACCTCTGATGGCGAGTCTTAATATATACCAACATGCTTTTATGTGCGTTAGGCATTTAACAATGTACTGAACTAACTTAAACATTTCGGATGAAAATTGAAACAAAAGAGTTGAGAAAAACACTGTTAAAGATAAAAATAATTTTCTTTAACATTGATATAATGCGCATCTGGAAATATTTTTAAAGGACTTACATGATCGCGCGATACTACAATTTAGCTGTGAACACGATAACTTATTGTTACACTAAAACATTTAAGCTATTGTGTTTGTATTATCGTCATACATATCTTTTCCTTGATTATATCTCATGTTAAGGTATGGTGAAACAAAAGAAGAATAAC